AGCAGCGCATTAATATAGAACAGTAATTAAAGGCTCTAATGCACACAGCAGCACACCAGTATAGGTGTGTGTATTGGAGGAGCTAGACGACGTATGATGACGTGTGACGGCATAGTAGTGGTGTCCCAATTCTTAGGAGAATATTTTCACCCCTACCCCTTGACACTCTGTTTGAAGAGACAAGGGGAAGGGGTAGGCGGAGGGGTAGCGGAAGGGGAAGGGGTATAAAATAGAATTGGGATTGGGCCTAAGTATATTTCAGGTATCCTAGGTTTAATTAACATGCCTTAATATAAAAATAAAATACTGTATAGTCTCCGCTGTATGAATTACATATAAATTGATTCATAATAAAAATACAAAAGTGCTTCCATTAGGTTTTTTTCTTCTTCTATTTTTATTAACATTAATGTAACAGATGTCAGCAGTTGATTGGGCCGCTGTCCCTTTAAGATTGAATGCACAGATCTAATATGCTGTTACACATCTGGGCCCGTATTCACAAAACATTTTATCTTACCACTAAGAGTTCTCCTAAATAGCAGTAAAAGTAAGAGTTTTCTCTTAAAACCTATTCACAAAGCTGCGGAGACAAACTTTTACTAAGGAATAGACAGAAGTCTTAAGCTAAGAGTAAGGGGGCGGGGTTGACCTTGTTGCTATGGATGATGTCATCAAGCTTATTAACTATGCACACAGTGATTGGCTGATAGTCTCTGTCAGAGATTTATTCATAGAAATATTGTAGAGCGCAATATTATGTTGCCATATTCAAATAAAGGTTTCAAAACAAAAATGTTAATTGCCACATTTTAATTTAAAAGTTTCACTCTCTATAGATATATTTTTCATGTCTGTAATAAGGCAAGCATACACGGAGTTTCGAAGTGACGCGCTCAAGTTCACAGAGACCGAGACGGCAGAAAGTGCATCCTGTTTGCTTTCATTATTTTACAAAAGCGCAACGTTTCATTGTTATTCTGAGTACACACGAATAAATGTAGAGTCTTTACAGATACAAAAGACGCATTGCTCTTATCTGTATTTTAAGAGCCAATGATCGCACCGGCGCCTCCATCTGTCCTGCAGGAGCCCAAGCGCGCTAATGTTCAGCTCCACGCTCTGCACAAACACGTGAACTGCGCACTTTTTTCTAGGCTAACATTAGATTGAGCTGCCATGTAAAGTTGCTACTACATACATATTTCAGATGATAAGCCATATTTGAGGTCGATGAATGTTAGTTGAACATTAACGGGTGGTGCCTGATGTACTATATTACCACATAGACCAGCCGTTAATGTTCTGTCCGTCACAGACTACGTGATTTCGCCACTTCATGTGGAATTTTTTTTTTT